TTGTTAATGCAGTAACTACCGAAGTTAAAAGGCAGGAGATGGGAGACGGATCGACGGATTGGGGCCTCATCCACAGTAGTGAGGCTGTTGCTTGTGTTGGTCATGGTGAAGAGCTGAGGTAAGCAAAGCTCTTGATTTATTGATCTGTCTACAATCTAATCAGAAGGAGTCAGCTGAGGTGGTTCATCTGATTAGGATGCCTCCCTTTAGAGGTGTTCCGGGCACGTCCCACTGGTAGGAGACCCCAGGATAGACCCAGGACTCACTGGAGGGAACATGTGTTCTGTCTGGTCTGGGAATGCCTCGGGGTCCCTCAGGTGGAGCTGGAGAGGACGTCTGGGTTTTTCTCCTGAACCTGTTTCCTCCATGGTTGCTTGCTTGCAGCTCTCAACACTGTTCATGATAAAGGCAACTATAACAGATTTAGTGGTCTGGGTCGGTCAAGGATTTCTTACTTTTCAAATAAGTATTCTGGCTTTAAAGTTGTTCCAGTTGCTTTTTTCTGATTCAGAAAGCTTTTTTTTTTTTTTTTTTTTTTTTGAAAATCCAAGTGCAAGTGGACCACATTCTTAGCTGCAGTAAGCAGACTTGGCAGGGACATGCGGTCACCCTGTTAGGTGAAAGAGGAAAATCTCCAGGATATTTGCAGCAGAAATGATGACTAACAACACTTGAGAAATTCCCACAGAAGTCCAAGCTGTGTGTCTAGTCTGTGTGTGAGCCCCCCTCTGGTCGTTACACAGCATGAAGTCTGTGAAAGAATGCAGGGCTGACTGAGGGCCCAGTATTCCCATCTCGAGCGTGCCCTCGATTTATTTTTTTATTGACATAAATAAAGCATAAAACCAAAGCAGAGAAGCTGATTGTCTCAAGTGTCATTATGATAATACCAACATGCCCTCCTTGGGGACATTATGTCTGAAGAAACTTGAATGCAAGAAAAACTTTGCATGTTTGAGCCAACTTGTCAGCGTGGCTGTGAGGACGCTATTGTTTTTGATTATAAATAGCCCAACAAATTGTGCTGAATGTAGTAAATCTCAAGAAAACATGTTGGCACTGAACCAAGCAGGCATTTTCCCATCAGGATTGCAGCCAAAGTTTTCTAACTGAGTTCAAAATAAAAGTTTTTGGAAATATTTGATAAGAGATTTTTGCCAACGAGTAGGGTAGAGGGGATCATTTATAAAGCATCTAACAGATCTCTTCATGTATGAGTCATGTGAACACGTTTTTTTTCTCATGCTAAACCAACATTTCCGTTCTCCCTCCTCTATTGTATTACCCAGCTGACAGATGGAGACCACCACAGAAAGGAGGCCAGACTTTTCCTGGTGAGGTCAGTCGGTGCTATAATCAGAAGTTTGATTCATATTGTGGAAATTAGGTTTTGTTTTGTTTACTGATTATATTAAAAGCCTAACATTCCATGAAAGATTAACAACCTGTCAACTTTTATTTTTAGTTTTGGATTAAAATCATTTTATAATGAGAAATGTCTCAAAGTTGTTTCTGCATTTTGTACAATCTCATTGTGAGATGTGTTCACACTCTGACACACAAAATTTCAGCTTATTTTCTGTCAATTCGATCGAGGTAGAGCCTTTTTTGTTGGTTAAGATTAATTAGCTGTGGTAGCCATATTGAATTAGGTTGACTCCAAAACCTCATCAGATGTAGATATATAATCAGTGATTAGTTTCTAAAAGTTTTAATAAAATCTGTCCAGTTGTTTAAGAAATATATTGCTAACAGACAGATGTGTTTAACACAAATGGTTAATACTTGGCACATAGAGTATATGTTGGGAATGATGCTCAGGAGCGTTGATGTAATGTAAATCTTTAATACAGAATCAAACAAGAGTGTAAAAATAAAGACAAATAGTGCCCCCATGTGTTACAAAATATTTACTGCTTTATCATCCAAAGCAGTTTTATGAACACTTCTCTATACAGGAAATTAACAAAATGTTATTACACCTTGTAAAGATCAATGATTAGTTCTGTTTTATTTTAGTCACGAGTGCCTCTATGAGACCATAAACTACATGTATTTACACTTTAAAAGAGCAAACAAAAAATTATTTAAAAAATATGGATGTGTATGGATAAAATTTTCAATTGTATGAAATTTTAATGTTAATGATAATGTTTTATTCAGGTAGCTAGATGCTTATATAAAACACCAATATTGATAAATGTATACATTGTGTAAAATGTAAATACCATAAAAAACGAATGCAATGATTTGCTAAACTAAATTTTATTAACAGCACACAGTAAACATATCAAACATTTAAACTGAGAATTAAAAAGCAGGGTTGTTTTGAATTATATGACAGCAACACATCTGAATAATATGGAGACGGGGCAACAACAGAGG